TATACAAATTATTAAGAATAACCCAATCGAATAGTTTCTCGTAAGTCTTTTGAGACCTTTAAGTAAAGTAAAGTAAAGTTACAGCCTATATACGTCCCACTGCTGGGCACAGGCCTCCTCTCATTTCTAAGAGGGTTTTAGGGCAAGGAAGTGTCCGCCGCGCTGCCCCAATGCGTTGGCGAACTTCACATGTCTTCAAAATATTTTATTTTTATTTCTCAGACATGCAGGTTTCCTCACGATGTTTTACTTCACCGCCGAGCATGTGGTAAGTCAGCACTTAAAATTGCAAGTAACAATTTTATTGGTGCCGGCGGGGATCGAACCCGTGTTGCTGGCGTACTGTGAAATTTACAGCGAGCGCTAACCATCTGAGCTACCACAGCTCTTAGACCTTTAGATGTTGTAAAAACCATTTTAAAATGTCTTAGGTGCAAATGGTGCAATACTGCGACCCAATTAGTGAACTAAATACCGTGATTACGAATAATCCTGCCAATTTTTGAATTGCCAAAATCCAGTAGTGGGCAATAAACATCTAACTTTATAGTAATTATTTTAATTATAAATTGATTCTAAGCAAAAGTGAATAAGCCTAATCTAAATTTTGTAGACTTATAACGAGCCACATTAACATCAATGAGGGTTTCGCTTTATCCAGTTTAGTGAGTATGGGAAAATGTTTGACTAATATTCAATCACTCTACGTTTTAATCAATCGTACAATATTTAGTATTGGGTTTAAAATTCTTGTTTGGGGCTTGTCATCTCAAAGAAATGAAATCCCGGCGTCTCTAATTCACATCAACAGGCAACATCCTATAAGGAATGTATGACGCTTACGACGTTACAAATACGCACCATGACGCATGCTGCGCTCCGAGCGTCATCAGTGTTGAAACGCGAAGAAATATCTATCTTATACCAAATGCCGCAAACCTAAAACAAACGTCTTTGTTTATATGCGGCTAATTAGATTTGCTTGGAGGAGTAAATTTTGAAATTTGTGAGTGAATCAATCGTTGTTATCTGCGAGGTCTGCGAGTTCAATGTATTCATTATAAGTTATAGCTTGCTAAGTAGCATTAATTGGGTGATTAGTTAAAAAATAACGCCTTTATTCCTAAAATACCAATCTCATGCACGCAGTACAGTCTATGTTGAACAGAATAGACTCTGGCAACTGAATGATCACACACAAATATATACAGAAAAACTTTACTAAAAAAAAACTTCACAGTCTCATAATGTGGAAAATCACTACTAGTGCTAAGCTTTCCACTCCATATGACATTTCCATATGACCAGCATGGTGCGTAAGGTCAAATCTACCAAGTAATGCTTGCCGTGAAATGACAGAAAATCCATCACCCTATTTTTCCCGTAGTTGACGTAACAGGTTACTATGGCAATTGCCAGGAAGTCATATATCTATATTTTGATAGATATCAGTACGACCATTTACCGTTAGAGATACAATTGGTAAAATCAAAAAGCTTATACAACCGACTTCAATATAAATAAAATGAGAACATCATCAATGTAGTCGAAGTCACTTAAATACGCTTTATTGAGAATAACTAAAAAACTAATGGTCAGATCTTGATCAAATTTATATGATACCACACAAGAAGCACCAGATTTTTAATAAAAAAGGATCATCAAAATCGGTTCACCTAGGAAATTTTTTTGAGGTAACACACATAAAAGAAACATGCAGTCGAAATGAGTCCATCCTCCTTTTTTAAGTCGGTTAATAATACCAGATAAACCAAGGTAAAGAGCAAAAAACATAGTTAATTTATCTTACATTTGAAATGCTTTCAAATCCCTTTTATATCCAGGAAAGAAGTAGTGCATGTTATACAACCATCACCTATAATCCTACGTCTGATAACCTTTAAAGCCAATCTCTATACAGCATGAAAGTGTCAGCAGTTAACTTTTACGGAGCTTTAAAGAGAAAGAAGTAGAATACTTGTCGGTGGGTGAATTCTTGGAGTAGCTTATGTGCAGATAAATGGTTGACTTGATTGATGTTTACAAGAAGTATACATAACTACATACTAAATAAATGCTTTCTGTATTGCGAATGACAATTAATGCATTTATAATTAAAATGATATTCCAATAATAACAAGACCCAAAATAATTAAACTTTAAAACAGTAAAAACCGACTTCAAGGAAACAAAACAAAAAAATATAATCATCGAAATAAGTGTGACAAAGAATTATCTCTTAACATACAAAAAAAAATCTTCCGCCGAAAGGCAAATAAGTTAGGCTCAGTAAAATAAATATTATTTAATACTTTGTTACTATTGTTGTATTGTTGAAATAATTATTAAAAATATAAATTTTATGGAAAAAATTGTGATAATTAAAAATATTTCTTAATTACTAATTTGAACTGGCTAATACTCGCTAATACTCGCTAATACTTGGGAAACCACGAGTTGTACTCTAATATTAACAGTTGTGATTAAATGTAATATAAGCAGGGATGCCCGCGTACTGTACTCTTCATTTGTTGGGCGCTGGCAGAATAACAGCGTTGTGGGCAACTGCAACATTTATGCTGAGCTAGAGCCCATTCATTACTACACTTTGTAATTTTGGTTATTTCTGTGCTCACTGTAACTTTATTGGCGGTAATGAATAATTTTTTTTATTATTATTATTATTTTGGGTTATTGATAGAGTAATCACATCTGGTTGGGCTGGATAAATACATTAAAGGAAGAAATAAATATACTTAAATATATATTTACTATACTAACATAAATAAATAAATAATACATAAATAAATAAAAGCCCAACCAGATGGAAGCACTCGGCAGGGGAGACCAAACGGCCGAGGGTTAGGAGGAAAATGAAAGAAACCGGCGGACGATGCGGGCGGTATCGAGGAGCACCGCCTTCTGCATTTGAGCCCGGAGCGGTCCGTCACGGAGTCCCAGTCGCCCCAGATGGCCCGAGAGGCTGGCTGGGATTAACCCGTTTGCAGACACGACTACAGGAATAATTTCGGTCGGCAGACCACCCCACATGTCGGTCACCTCGTGAGCCAGGTCCAGATATATTATTATTATAAAGGTTCTAGGTCTAGAAAAATAATTTGAATTAATTTTGCAATCAAAGAGAGCTAATAATGCTGCCCAGATGTCGCTAGATGAAACTGAGGCGATTTTTATTTTTATTATTTTTTCGACTTTCATTATCACGGAAATTGACACACAGTGTCATCTTCATTAAAACCTATGTTTTAAATAAAAGTTTTTCGTTTTTTAATTTACGTATGCTGTGATTTTTTTTTGTATTTTACATATCCTAAACTTACTTCCTATACTTTTAGAAATATTTCTTTGTTTGTTTTATCCATTTCAAATTTTATTGTTTTATTAATTAATATAAAATAGAACTAATACTTCAGAAAGAAACATTAATCTTGATAATTTTATAATAAGTTGTCGATCATTGCTAGGACCTTGTTTGGATTAACAGAGATCCTTTTTACTCGTAACGACGCATTCCATCATAGTCCTCAAGGGTCACAACGCATCTGCATTTTTATACTTAATCACATCATTCACCTATCATAAAATTGAAAAAGAAAATATCACAGTGTGGATAATGTAGTTATCACCCATCACATATCAGGTTGGCTTGAATATTTTATGACTACACTGTTTAAGTATTTATTTGACTACTATATCGTCTGATGGTAAGTGGTGATGAAGCTGACGACGGAAAATGGGCTGACTTAGCTTTAACAAAAGCCACTCAACTCTTGTCTTAAAACACTTACATAGTAATTGTATGGAAAGACAGATGCTGCAGAATCATACCTTGATCAATATATTCCTTATTTTACACCAATACACATAAAAAAGAGAACAAAATTAAATTTATAAACAGAAAGCATAACAGGCGGTCTTATCGCTCTTGAATCAATTTCTTCCAGACCACCTTTTTCCGCAAAGAACTGTTGTTTTTTGTAATGCGACTTGTGAGCAGGGAAGGTATATATAAATTTGACAATTTAAAAAATATGTAAATAAACACACACACACACACACACACACACACACACACACATATATATATATATATATATATATATATATATATATATATATATATATATATATATATATATTTTATATTTATACATATAAAACACACAAGATAATGCCGGTTGAGGATAGGTAGGATAAATACAATTAAGGACCGGAGTTATGATGGGAAATATTAGAGCTCTAAATAATAAGTTTGAAGTAGATTTTTGAAGAAAAAAAAGGGACTGAGCACGCTTATAAAGGCAAGGACAAGCGTACAGCTGTAACCGAAAAAGATTAATTGAAGAAGGAGGATGAATGTGCTGGAATACGAAGCGAAATATTGTTAGTGGAACGTAAATGACGATCGTGAGAGGAGGAGAAGAATTTATAATGGTCTTTTAGGTATTAACATGGAGTGGAGGGACTGAGCAGTATGGTGTATAATGCAGAAAGGATGTGAGTATTATTCAGCAGGCGGTTCGGCAGCCACTTGAAACGTTTACGAAATTCTGAAATGTGATCATATTTATTTAGATTATTTATTTAAATTACTATTACTAATTTTCTTGTTATGATTACTATTCATTTATTGTTGATACTGATGAATCAAAGTATTTTGATTCATCAGTATCAACAATAAATGAAAAAACAAACAACAAAAACAAAGCCTTTTGTAGCGCGTACAATTTCTTCCAGACCACCTTTTCGTCTCAGATGGCCCGAGAGGGAGTAGATTAATTTGCCGGCGTCTTGTTTTCATCCGTTTACAATCGGGTTTCAACAATTACAAAGCAAGAGTGAATAGGCTTTTGTTATGCTAACACAGTGCAACTTACCATCTAGGGGTTCATCGCCGCTTACCACCAGGTTTTTTGTAGTCTAATAATAGGCAAAAATGTACCTTACTTCACTTTTTTAACTTATTGATACTCATTTGCTCATCCTGGATAAAAAAAAATCAAACGAAAATATTTGTGCAAATGAAATACAAAGGCTTATTAATTTGTTGTGTTTAAGTAAACGTGACAAGCACGCACATATTCCACGCGATGGTAAGTCGATGTCCTGACCCAAAAATGTCTCAATCTATCCTTGATTAACAATAAAAATGTGGATTCGTAGTCCCCCCAAGTACTATAATGGTTTACCTCGTTACCAGTAAACTGAATTTACGATTCTTGTCGCACCGAATATCGTCCCTACCCACCAACAGCATTAAGCTGCTACGAGTATTTTATGCTGGGATTCTATGAGTACGAATACAAATAAATTAGAACAGATTTTAGTATAGTGATTCTTATATAAAACTAGTATTCTGTAAGAGCGAGGTTCGTTCCTAGATGCCATCTAGTCACGTTGTAGTTATAATGGCCTGCAAAGTAGCTCCACTACATAATAAAATATTTGCAGTTGTAAATACTATCTTATTTCTTTGACATTCTGTCCAATAAATCTAATACAAGTAAAATCTGACACAAGTAAGGAAAAGACCAACGAAAGACTCTTTGTTTGTGCATAATAATCATCAATCATCATTACAGCTCGTCAAACTCCACTGCTAAACATAGATTGCCTCTTTGGGGTGATATATGTCATAGTCGCAAAGCTTAAGAGGCATGTTGGTAACAGCAGTTTTTTTTTATTATTTTATATTGTTATCAGGAAGAAGCTGCTACCCATCTCCTCATTTCCTCTATAACGTTTCTTACGACATCCAGGTCGATATGGGATGGTGAATTCTGTTAAGCTGCCATGACACGCGTGCCTACAAATATGGCGTTAAAATTTTCCTTGCACAATTCTGCACAACATTCAGATACTGGTCGGTCGAATCCGTTTTCATAAGGACATAAGGCAGGTCCTGAAACTTTGATGGTCATAGGTCTACTCTAATTTTCTGAAAGGGTTTGAGGGCAAGGAAGTATCCCACGCGTTGTCCCAATGGACTTATGTTTTCAAATTATATTTTTTATTTCTCAGACATGCAGGTTTCCTCGCGATGTTTTCATTCACCGTCGAGCACGTGATAATCCGGCCATTAAAATTTCAATTAAGAATCTCATTGATGCCGACAGGAATCTATTTTTAATGGAAAAACAATTCTTAAATGGCTTCACTCGAGTTTGGTTCCCGCCGCACGTAATAAAAATTTAAACGTAAAAAAATCTTAAGGAAACAAAACTTTTCCATTTTATTTCTCGTAATGAATTAGGGTGGATAACTTATTTATGCTGCCAAAAAGTATTTTCTCTTTTTATATCTCTAATTTGCTAACAATTTTTTTTGGAATGACCTGTATTATTTTTCTACAGTCATTGAATAAGTTATTAATTAGTATATTCCGTTTAAAAAGGTTTCAAGCCTCACTACATACAGCAAGTGAGTTATAATAAATTTGATAGCAGCCCAAATACCTTTCCAGAATTCAAAATTGTGTTGCCTTGTGGTTACTGCGTACAATAAATAACTAATTTTTTCATCTAGTTCCGCCCGTATGGTTAAAACCGAATAAGTGAAATGCCGTGAAAATCTTGTAACTTCAACGAATGTTGAAAGAGGTTTTTTTATGAAATTTTCAACCTGAGTATCTACCTATGATGTAATATTGTTCTGCCGTGGAATTATGACTAAAGTATATTCAAGCTTCATTAAATATAAATAACTTTTATTTGCATAAATGCAAATATTTTGAATAACGAAAAATTTACCATTTTTAGTTCGAGAATGAAATCATTTCCACCCTTGCTAAATCATATTGTTTCTTTGTTTTTGTCGATATATATATCGGTTTTATTACAAAACGTGGATTATTGATATAAATCTCGGCCAGTGATTATATACTCTTCGGTCTCGGCTAAAAGGTAGTAATTGTCTAATAAAAAAAAATACTTTTTGCAGCATAAATACTCTTTGGTCTCGGCTGTAAGGAAGAGTCTTTATCACGAAAGAGGTCGCTTAGCTGCGGCGCCAGTCTGTGAAATTCGACATTTGACTGCCAAATTTCATACTTTATATTTTATTTCACATTTCAACATTTAACACGAGACTTCAAAATTTAATAAGACTATTTAATAAGACAATATAATATAATATAGCCTCTGATTTCAAAAAGAGCTCGTAGCTTTTCGTTATATTAAGTTTTAATTTTAGTTATTTTTTTTATTTTTCGTAGCAAGTATATAGAAACCAATAACATTATTGACTTACCTATGACATACGAGTATCCATCAAGCGTCAAGACGCATTTTCTAAGTGCGCCTGAAGCGGTACGGTGCCTGTAAGTTTTAGGCGTCGCACCCAGTGCCCGTCCACCACCTGGATCACTGTGGCACTTATGTACAAGTTCCTTATCGGTCGCCACGTTGCTGTTGCCGTCGACAGAGCCCTGTCTGCTTCCTTCGAGCAGCGCTTTTCCCCGCCGCATCATCACATCACACGCTATCACGCTATACACGTTCTTGTTCACAACTATACGTTTTAACACGCCACAGTTACGTTCACAGATATGGTTAGTAAATCACTTGAGATTACTTTTGCTTACACTAGATGTGTCTTCTGAACATTGTATGATATGGACCAGGTGTATGTCATAAACAATGAGCATGGTTTAGACGTTTTCATTGGTTAACTGTGGATGTAAAGGACATAAATCACGGGTTATTACCATAACATAGGTTCGTTTGCTATTTTTGAATTAAAAAATAGTTTTGAGAGTTTTTACTGTTTAACAACGCTTTGAAGCTAAGTGCCTAAAGCTCTCGTAAATACTCGCATTTATGACTAAGAGCAATTGTATATTTTTTGGTTATGAAATCAATTTTAATACAGAAAAAATGTCTTGTTTCATAAGGTACAAGTGATTTGCGTGTTTTAAAATAAAGATTATTTAATTGTTTGATTCCTTAACGGTAATGGATTTAAGATCGCTTAACTAATTAATAAACTGTTATAAAATTATATATAAATAATTAACGATTCCGTTTCATAGGCATATATAGTTTTAGATTTTGTGTATTATTGTTATTAAAATATAATTTAGCGTAATAAAATCGTTTGCACGTCCACCATTTTTAAAATTTATGTAAGTGTCGTTATTTTTATATCTTAATTATGTAACAATTAATTATTTTAATTTTATGCAAAATCTGCTGAGGTCTGTATAGTTAACGAGTTGATTGACGTAGTTAATAAACAAAAAATAATCCTAAGTGTTTCTGATTAAAAAGGAATAAAATAATATCATGAAAAATAGTGCATACGACTCTAGTTTATAAGTATTCTGTAAAACTTAAGAGACTACAGTTGAATTTTAATTTTTAATTTAAAAGCGATCATAAGTTAAAAAAATCTCAGCAACTGGCTCCTTCTGCCGTCGAAGCGAAATCGTGGAGCCTAAGCACATAACCTTCAAACACGTCTTTATTTACCTGACTATGGCAAGATCGTGTAATGAATGTTTGGCAATACACATGTGGGAACACGGGAATCTATTTTCACGCGGCGACGAGTGTTGTTTTTCCACCATAGTAACGCTCACACAGGGCGCCTATAAAACATTGCGTCATGGTCCGCGAATGGGGGTGGGGGCGTCCCCCATTTGTAAACAGATTGTGACGTTGTCCGCTGGACTATTCCAAATCACTAACAACAGGTGGTCCCGTTTCCCTAATCTGTATCTGTGAGAATTCGTCTCTACACCGAATGAAAAAATAATGCTTACAAAATTTTAATATTTTTTTTTATATTTCAGACGAGGATATATTCAAAAGATGACATTTTTTCGCTAAATGTTTCACATACCACATTTATATCGCGGACTTATTCGGACGGTTAGGCGCACGAGAATCGCTTAGGGCGGCACACGGCTGTACCGCGTCGAAGGCTGCGCGCGACTGTCGCCCGAGTCCGAGCCACATGCTCCAACTGCTACAGGTAGCTGATTAGCGTTGACTACTTTGAGATTCGAATCACATACCCCGGGGGGTGCATGTAGCTTTTGATGCGAAACATTGTAAGCTTTCTATCTAAGCGATTATTCTGATCCTATTCAATTTAGGGACCTGCAAGAAATGAGCCAACTCTTTTTAAAGGCCGGCAACGCATTGGAAAATCCTCTGGTGATGCAGTTGTTTATGGGTAGTTGTATTTACTTACCATCAGGTAAACCGCATGCCTTTTCCCCATCTCATATTAAAATAAATTATGCAACGTTGTCACATTTTAAGGGCCTGTCCTATACAGTTTTTGCCAGCGATTGCCATCTCTTGGTAAACCAAGATGTACTTGCAACGCAACTCATCATATCGGAAATGCCAAGCACAAGTGAGTATTAACAAATATTAGAACATAAAAAGATGTTTCTACTCCGTGATTTTTCATAAATTCATTACAGTCTATCAAAATTTAACTGCTGAACATAGGTCTATGATTGCCATAAGAGGCGCCATTTGCCATAGTTGCCTTGCTTGGCAGGAGGGTTAAGCAATCGTAATTTTTGATTATTTTGAGTTGTTGTCAGGAAGATTCTGCTACTCATCACCTCTTCCACGGGATGATAATATGGGTTAGGGAATTTTCTGACGCTGTCACAACATTGCGATTTAGTTATGTAAATGAATATTAGATTTATAGCAATTAATTAATAATTTAAAGTAAATTAAATTATCTTGACTAAAGCACTCGACTGATTAAACATAACGTCTTTTATCTACTTTAATTTTAATATCCCGGCAATTTGTTTTAATAAACATCAAATAAAAACAAATTGAATAAAACTAAATTTAGGAAGAAGAATTGAAGAGGACACGGTGGAACACACCGTGGAGGTGTGCCCTGCTTGGGCGGAGCACCGCCGTGTCCTCGTAGCGGCGATAGGCGGCGGCGACCTCTCGCGTCCGGCCCTGGTCGAAGCCATGGTCCGGAGCGAGACGGAATGGGATGCCGTCACCACCTTCTGCGAAGCAGTGATGCTAGCGAAGGAGGTAGCGGAGCGGGAGAAGGAGAGAGCAGCAGCTTTCCTCCCCGGCCGCCGCGGGAGACGCCCCGGGCGTCGGGGGCTACGTCGTGGCCCCCCGGCCACCGTAGGCGCGGGCCTGTGGACGGCGAGCAATGGGTAGCTCGTCGTCCGTCCGTCTAATGACGACAGGCCGTGTCGACGGCGCGTTTTGTTCCACGCGCGCTTCAAAGAGCTGTCAGCAGCGTGAAGGGGCCCGCAAGGGCCGACGCCTGCCGGGGCTGCGGGCTGTTCGAAAGAGATACCGCGGCTCCGGAACGTAAGGGCATTGAAGGAACACGGATGGTTTTTAGTCAGTAAAAGTCTGACACTCCCTTACGCTCCACCCAGAGCGAAAGGGGTCATTAGATGATTTTCCATCCGCAAAAAAAAAAGCATACCACTGCAAGACTTCAAGATACTGTAAGTTCGTTTTGCGTAAATCGGACCAAAAATTAATATTCAAAAACTGAAGGTAGCCGGGCTAATAATGACATTGGGACGTCAAACATCTCAGTCCCCCCCGTGACCATGGTTGCTGTAAAGCACCCGAAACGTCGGGAATTAAAAATAATTAAAAATAAGTAAAAGTAGTGAAATAAACGCGATAAAATCCGTAAATTTAGTTTTATTCAATGTGTAGTGTTCGCGTAAATTTAAGAAATCATTATAAAAACAAATGTTATGTAATGACATTTGTTTTTATAATGATTTCTTAAATAGTATACATAGTTTTTGCTTGCATAAATTTTACGCTTTAGAAATTACAGTAGCTGTGTCTAAAGTATTTTTTATATAATATGGGTGACACACTAACACACAGTCTGATAGTGAGTGGATGCGGTGGCTCATAAACGTCTACATCTACCTTCAATTAAGAGTCAAAATGCAGGTGCAGTCAAAGTTGAAACTTGAGGACTAAGAAGAAATGTTTCTTTTCCAGTAATAAGGGTCTCCGTTTTCTACACTAACCATACGAAACACAGCATTAAGCTGCAAAATTACGGTGGTATTCCGTGAGAGCGCGGTCTTTCCCCTGTCCAGCTGACCATTCCTGTTACAATTATAATATATCTTCGGCGTGGCTCTACCACATATAAACCTAAATATGAAATAACACTATGTTTAAGTCATTCTAGAACGCGTAACATTTTTGTATTCCTTTGTGGCCACAGTAAATGTTTTACATAGGCGTAAAAATTGATACCATAAAAATGTAACATAAATTTATTCCCGATAGTGAATTTCAAAATGAAATAATTTTTAACGTTGAACAAAGAACAAACGTAACGGAGCAATTAAGCAATTTTTTTATTTCAATTACACGATTGGTGAATTAATTAAACCAAAACCAAATTAAAGTAAATTGTAAAATACAATATACCAGCGTAAAATAGTAACACAATGCTGCTGTGTTTCGTAATATTGTAGAGAACCGGAGAATCTTTTTAATAGAAACGATGCATTTCAGTTCAGTCCTCAGGGGTGACTGGTAACTGCAATTTTCAATATAGTATTGTTAAATTTACAACGAGCTTTTAATCGTAGCTAACACGGCATAACTGAGACCGCGATAATTGTAATTAATACATGGGGAGTTTGGGGTATTTGGGTTATAGGGACGTCCTAGGTGAAAGTTTATCAACCAAATTGGCAATATATTGAAAATGGGCCAAATTAGGAGTACCGTTAACCGACGAGCATGTATGCGTAGGTATATGGATGTGGAGGAGGCGAGATTGGTGTGTCAGAATCGTGCCAAATGGAAGTCTGCAGTCTCTGCCTACACTTCTGGGTGACAGGAGTTGTGTTTACGTATGTATGTATTGGAGTATTCCTTCTTTTACTGAACTGCTGGAAACACATTTGTGACCTAATAGTATAATTACAGGCTGTAAAGCATTTTATCATAGCCCTCGAAGGTGACAACGCATCAGTAACCTTTTTTGTTTGTGAGATAGCGGATTTTTTGTGTAATAGCTGTGCAAGAAACATGGTTATTTCTACATGACATAGATTTCCTCGGAAATATTCATCAGGATTTCATGTATACTGGTAAATCAGCTATGGATTCTTCAATAGGCATAATTAGAGGTAGACCGTACGGCGGAGTTACTTTATTATGGCGGAAGAGTGCTTTTAAAATAGTGAGTGTAGTAAAGTATGACAGTGTGCGTCTTGCAGCAATTAAGCTGCAACTGCCAGAGTGTACGTTACTGATATTCTCAGTATATCAGCCAACGGACTGTAGTGATAATTTAGTTGATTTCACTGAGTGCCTGAGTGAAGTAAACGCAATTGTGGAAAGTGAGGACATTAAAAATGTTTTCATACTAGGTGATTTTAATGTGCATCCATGTACGCTTTTTGGTAATGAATTATTAAACTTTTGTTCAGAATGTTTGTGGTCTTGCGTGGATATGAAGGTGCTTCCGTTAGACACATATACATTTGTTAGTGAGGCACATGGTTGTCAGCGCTGGCTGGACCATTGTATTGTTACTGAAACGGGTTGATCGCTGAGCTCAACAGCACTGGTATTGGGTGTTCAATAGACGGAGTCAATATAAATAACATAAGTTACGCGGACGATATGGTGTTGTTGAGCCCATCGATCAGAGCACTGAGACAATTAGTGAAAATTTGTGAATCATATGCCAGTACTCATGGGCTTATATACAACACAAAAAAGAGTGATCTAATGATTTTTGGGGCAGATGCTAAGAGAGGAGCTAACTTACCGCCTGTAAATTTGTGTGGGTCAGTTATAAAGAGAGTACCTCAGTTTAAGTACCTGGGGCACTGGTTCACTGAAAACATGAGCGATGACTGCGATATTGAGAGAGAACGCAGAGCACTGGCAGTACGTTGCAACATGCTGACTCGCAGATTCGCTAGGTCCTCTAGACAGGTTAAAATAATACTTTTCAAAGCATTCTGTCAAACTTTTTATACGTGTAACATGTGGGTTGGGTACACGCAGCGGACGTATAGTGCACTGTGCGTGCAATATAACAGGAGGTTTTTGGGCTCGTTTGTCACTTAACGCTATAAAAAAGCTGTGTTGCAATTTGAAACAAAGATTGGTGACCAGTAGCAAGAATAGAAACGATATTACAATTAATTTCTTCATCAGTGAGCATTGGCTGGTACTCAGGCTGACATTATAAGGTAGTTATTCCTACATATTATCTCAAATACCATAATAATTATACACCATAATAAACTTTCAGACATTTCTCGTAGTCAACTTTCACTGATGCTGCTAACAAATATTTATACACAAAGGCAGGACTATAATTCTTCATCAACCTATAAAACACCACTCTTGCATATGGGCCTCTGGAGGGATGATTTGCCTTAAATTGTCACGCTTTGCAAGCGGTTTGACGTTTTAAGCGGGTAAATTCAAATATTGTAATAATACACATATTTTTAACCGCCAACGAATTAGAAATGATGTGGAAATAGGCCGATCATATAATAGGTCGGACAATCAACAACATATGGTGCGGAAAAGTTCTCGGATGTCAGCCTTGTTCCAAAAAGTATGGTATAGACAACACTTTTACTATATCACTATAACTTTATGGCAGTATTGAGGAGGTTTTCATTCATTACCATTAACAAAGTATATAATTAAGCTAATTTGTCCTATACATGTAAATCCTCATAACGACTCTGGGATAAGATCGATGTTTGTAAGAGTGCAGGTTTAAATGTCCTTAATTTATATTAAATAATTCGGTTCAAATTAATTTAATAAGTAAACATATTTTATCACTTTTGCCATTAAATTTCATCATGTTTCGCCTGCACAAGCACTCCACTATTGCATCACTAAAATATCCAATATCTTGAAAACGGTTCAGTTTGGTGTATGGTGTTTCGTAGTTAAAACAGCCGGTAATGATGCAAACTACAACCCCCTAAATGATCTAGGTCTGCTGTTCTGGCGACTTACCACATGTTACTTAGGGTTTTAATTTTTTTGCGCGAATCCCAAATTCTTTTTCTTAAATCAAATT